AGACTTCTAGCTAAAGAGTGAAAACAAAAGCCTATGGGATCTACATATAAAAGAATAAAATAGGATGAGAAGAGAGAAAAAGGGAAAAAAGAGGAGAATCATATTTCTTATACTTTAGATTTTTGATCTTTAAGGTAAATGCCTATTTTAAATGATTCTAAGGGTATAAGGAATACTCTACGCACTAAGCAAGATCCCTGGGTTCTTACTCCTTCTCCACAACTGCTGGTGTATCACTGGTCGATTCATTTAACAACTTTGGGTTTCAGGTTCTAATCCACAAAATAGGGGTGATACAATACTATCTGTTTGAAGGCAGGAAGTAAGACAGGATGGCCTCAAGCTCCCTTCTAGCTTTAAGATTTAGGATGTGTACACCACTTTGAGGTAGATTTTAAGAAGTCAAGACATGATCTTGGCCCCAAGATATCCATGAGGGTCATTTGGCTGTGTTAAGATAAGAATGCTGATCACTTATAAGCCCGTTTGTAACTCTGACTGATCGTCTCACAAATGCGGGCTTCTGAACATGACAAAGACCTGAAGAAAGATCTTGAAGGGTTCAGAACAGTCACCACCATTCCTGACAACACTCAAAACTCATGTTCTACTGACAGTAAGTCAGTAGCACCACAATTTTATATGAAAGTCTGATTTTACTTCCAGCAATACACATTGTTTACTTAAGCAAAAAGAGAAAATATGCACATAAGAACAAATCAAAAACAAAAAGCAACTAGAAAACTCAATTTCTTTAAGATTAAAACTCTAAAGGCTATCCCCGATCTTCAACAATTCCATGGAAGATCTGATTGTGCATCATTTGATGAAAATATTCTTGAAGGTTTATCTGCCACAGATAGACTCTGAAAGAGGGTTTTAACTCCTCTAAGATAAGCACATACTGATTATCCACCTGCAATCCTTGGAACAGCGTTTAAAGAAATCTACTTCTAACATTCTGGATCTCTTAACTACTAATTGCTGTATTAACACTGAACTATCTTTGTATTTGTAAAATACAAACACTCCCAAGACCTGTTATATGCAAACTGCAGTAGACAAATAATTTTAAAGTAGACTTAATGAAGTTGGAAAGTGACAACCTCCAAAAGTGAAGGAATACCTATTCCAATTCTCTCAAAATGTATATAACAAACCAGCTTTGAGCACTGGAACAAACAAAAACATCCTTCAAGAAGCAAAGGATGAAA